AACGCTCTCCGTGTGTACATCAGGATTCGGTGCAGTTGATGGGTTCATTGGCGCGGGGGAGCTGTACGCCTGGGCTTGAGCAGCTGCAATGCGGTCCACCGCACGAATGAGGGAGGGTGTCATTGGTACTGCACCGACTGGCGTCGCAGAGTTGGCCGCGTTTGAGTCGTGCTGCGCGAGAAATGGTGGCCTCCAACCCGGCGAGTCGCGACGTTGCCTTGCCCGTGTCTGTGCCGCGGTCACGTCCTCCTCGTAATCAGAATACTCTGGTGCACCGTCATCGTTGCCCTGCAAGGCGGCGCGTTTCGCGGCGGCGACTGTACCCGGGTCTCCTTTTGCAAGGGAGACGTACTGAGAACCCGCGCTCGATCCATTCGTTAGTGTCACGCTGGAACGCGTCGAGGTGCGACGCGCGGGTGGCGGCAGGGTAGACAACGGATCGTCCTCGTCGTCTGAGCTGGAGTCATCAGGATTCATTGCGCCAAATTTTACTGCCTCGCGCTTGCGGTAGCCGCGACCTCCGACATTGCTTAATCCACGCAAGCGCGCGAGAGCATGCTGACCTTGCTTTCGTATAGGACGAGATGACCCATCGGATGTAAAAGCTTTTTGCATCGCTGGTGGCTTTATCGAAGGGATACCTTGAAGAGTATGATCGAAAGACAACCGTGGAGAGGCAGAATGCTTGTCATCAACGGGGATCATGTAGTCAGACATGACGGATGGCTTTGACCGGGGCATCCAGGGGAAAAGTCGATCCCAATAACTGTGCGAAAGCGGCCGGAAGACGCCCGCACGGTCACGGGCAATGGGAAGCGAAGAGGCGTATTCGGTAAGATAGGTGTCCCATTCCTACGTCATGCGGTCAAAGGTCGGTCTAGATGCAACGGCGTGGAGCATACCTCGTCAGGATCCCCTCCGCAAAACTTCTTAAGTGCCCAATCAGTTGAACAGCCAGCGATGAGAATAGCCAATAGCCAGCACTAAGAGCCCGTTCTACCCCAAGACCCCACCCATTGCCGTCCGGTATCCACAGGCGCTCCCAGACATTTGACCAGGATGGGACATGCGCAAGTAGGGCAATTGACATGGTCAAGCCGAATGCGCCAGTAGCGGACGCCGCTAGGCGAATGGAACTACGTTGGGTGCGCGCAAACGGAAGTACCGTCAAAATGCAGCAGGCAGTAACCAGGAGTGCAAGGAAGATACGTCGTGTCAAAAGATTGGGGTGAATCGAGACGGACAGGGCAAGTACTAATGATGTTCTAGGACGAAAGATATGAGATAAGATAACCACATGGAGAAGCCGAGCAGATTTACCCCCCAGTAATACCCGTGAGTGTGAGTGCGGCGTATTTGAAGAGACCGGAGAAGATGGCGAAAGGAACGGCGGTGAACACCCAGACAGCCAGGAAGGACTTTGATCCCAAGGGCGCGGAAGTCCTTTCATTAGGCACGACAAGCGCGAGAAAGTTGATAAATGGACTGGGAAATCTTCAGTGACTTTGAAGCACTGTAACGCAGACAAACGTACGGCCAAATGAGTATCCGATGGCTACACCACCCAGGCCACTCTGCAGGTAAAGCGAACCCGTCTTGACTTCTTTGTAAGATTGAAAGATCCTGGAACTTGTAAAAGATCGCTGCGAGGTTGGAAAGATCGAGTGCGGTCAAGTGTAAGGAAAGCGCCCGCGAAGGCAAGGAGAGCAGATAACACGAGAAGAGGAAGGGCGTAAGCGAGGCGGTAGGGCGTTGATGGTAAGAGATCTGTTAGTTGTATCAAGAGTGGCCTGTGGTATTAGCCATGATAATTTAATAGCCTGTCATAAAAGGTCGTAAAATGGGTATCGTTTAGGAGGACAGTCAGTCAGTGGTACATCGTGTGTCACAATCAGTCGGGCCGGGTATTCCCTATTGATGGCACTACACCATCGTATTGCGTACGATCCAAGCTATACCGTCAGGCTTTCTCGTCTCTCAGACACATTTCTTCATCTTCATCTCCCTCTAGATATGGTGCAGGAATTGAGCCCCCATTACAGGGAATTCGAATTCTCGACTTGACCCGCGTTCTTGCCGGGCCAACCGCAACAATGCTCCTTGCGACCTTGGGGCAGACGTTATTAAAGTTGAGGAGGTTAAACGTGGTGACGATACACGTTGAGTAGAATCTCATTCGATTTCCGCCATCTACTTACCAGCATTCACAGGGTCGTGGGCCCCCCCGGTTGCTCCCTTGTCCGAGGACCCGCCGAAAGCATCTGCCACCTTCCCCCCGAATCTGCATACTTTCTCGCGGTGAACAGAAACAAACGCTCAATCACGGTGAACTTTAAAGAACCAAAGGGTCTGAAAATACTACATAAACTCGTCGCAAAAGCAGACGTGTTGGTGGAGAACTTTCTACCCGGGAAACTAGATTCCATGGGGCTGGGCTATGCGGATTGCGCTGCTATCAATGACGGTCTGATTTACGCGTCTATCACCGGCAGGTTCTCCTCTGGCGCGCTCCCCACCCTTCTTTGACCCCCGTCGTTCCAGGCTATGGGCAAACGGGTCCCTACCGAACTGCAGCAGGTTACGACGTTGTGATCGAGGCTGAAGCAGGGCTCATGCACATGTTAGTAGAATGTCAAAGAATGCCCCGACGGGCATGGATGGAGCAGGTGCTAACCCCACATTCGTAGAACCGGTGAACCTGACCGTCCGCCATCCAAAGTCGGCGTCGCTGTAACTGACATTTCAACTGGCTTGTATGCTCACGGTGCCATCATAGCGGCTCTTATCTCCCGTCAGAAGACGGGGAAAGGTGTCTGGATAGACTGTAACCTATTCGAGTCACAGGTGTGTCGCTTGAACGTGGAGTTTTCGCAACCGTCCGACCCCATATGATCATCAGATTGCGGGCCTCGCGAACATTGCGTCCAATTATCTCATTGCAGGAAAGGAAGCGCAAAGATACGGCACAGCGCATCCCTCGATCGTTCCTTATCAAGTATTCGCCTGCAAAGATGGATATATCATGATTGGTGCTGGCAATGATAGACAGGTATACCTGGTTCCTCTTCCACTTGTTTCGATGGTACGCAAACGCTGTCTCTAGTTCAAACTCCTCGCCGAAAACGTCCTTCGTCTGCCCGAGCTGGTTCATGATCCCAAATTCAATACAAATGGCGCAAGAGTTGCCAATCGTGAGCTATTGGTAAAGATTATTACTGAGACACTCATGCAGGAGCCGCTGAATCACTGGCTTAGCTTGTTTGATGGACTTGGGTAAGCGTCGATTTAGGAGGTTACTGACTCGAACTGAGTGCTCTTAGCGTGCCATTTGGCCCCATCAATAACATTCAGCAGACATTCGACCACCCTCAAGCCGTTGCACGCGGTGTGGTCGTAGAAGTAGAAGTAAGGATTCCACTTTCCCTTCCCATACAGCTTCTCAAATTTGCGCCTAGCACCCGCGCGCTGGAAAGGTCAAACTAGTGGGGCCAGCTGTCACATACAACGGGAAGAAGATGCCAGTGAACCGACCTCCGCCATGGCTTTCCGAGCATACTGACGAGGTGCGGCCACATGATGACCTACTCGAATGGAAGACTTATAGTAACCACGAGCAGGTCTTGAGCGAGCTGGGATACGATACAGAGCACATCTCACAGCTTCGGAAAGAAGGAGTTGTGTAAAGAGATACATCGCTGGAGCTGTCGAGGATAGCGCAGACCGTGGAATACATCTTTTATCATTCATACCCCCTAGGCAGCATCTAGCAAACGTATCTAGTTCCTGCAAAACTCCTTCTCGGCCTCGTCTACCCACCCACCGACTTTCTCCCAGACCTTGCTCGCCATCTCACCCCATTCTACCTTCATGCTCTCCATGCACTCCTCACACACGCCCTTCTCTTTCCAGCGCCACGCCGCCATGCGAGCTAGGGTCTCGAGGGGGCGCCCCACCCCACCGTCGGCGAGCGCAGGGGTGATCACATCATCCATCCAGCGATCCGCGACAATGTCCGTGCAAGCCATGTGCGATGCACCACCGACGGTGAATAACACGGGCGTAAAGTCCGCGATGAGCGAGGCGAGCAAGTGATGGCAGATACGAAGTGTGCGCGGGGAAAGCGCGGGGTGCGGCGCAGCTGCGCCGGACACATCGTGAGCTTCTGAGCCAGAGGGATCATACTCGCCTTTTGGGTCAAAGTTGGTTGAGGTGGCGACGCTGTAAAGCAGAGCCTTCTTGGTCTGTGGGAGAAATCATTAACGGAACCCGTTTCACCACCGCCGCGTATCAATAATACCTCTAAATGAATGTCGTATTGCAGAGCAAGCTCCAGTGCTTCTTCCAGGTATTCGGTACGATGTCGATGCGCGAATGGGGCAGGTCCGCCGGGAAAAAGAGCAGCAAGATCGCGGTTGGCGAGCTCGAATGTTGAGGTCAAACAAAGTTGCCGGGGAGAAGAGACCCGCAGGATGCAGGCGAGCTGGCGGAATGAGCTCTCGGGTCTCAAGGGACTGAACGAATGGTGTTAGATTCACCCACGAATGGTCTCATGAAGAAAAGCAGCACGAACGTGCTTACGAATCGTGGTACAAGTATGCTAACAGCGTCTCAAAGTCTTCGGTCGCGATGTCCTGGTCACCTGGGATAGCGATGACCGGTGTTCCAACACCCCCAAGAGGCCTCGACAATGCGAGAGCGGCGGGGTCTGCGGCGTCGATTAGCCACGATGCGAACTTGCTCGAGTGTCGATCAAGAATCGACTTGTGGACCTTGTACACTGACGGTACTAAGCTAACGAGAACAGAACCATCGTCAAACCAGAACCGGCTGCTTTTCTGTGGCTGTTGGGACTCGATGCCATTTGTAAGATTGGGAGACATCCCGCCCGCGCGGAAGGAACAGAATGACGAATGACGATGACGATAAGAGAAGCATCTGGCTGCTCTGTCGCATCCTGATTTGGCAGTTGATATAACGAATTTCATTTTATTTATTGTGTATGCCCCATGGCTGAGTTGGTTACAGCGTCCGACTGTTATTCACCTTGAAAAGCGGTATCGGAAGGTCGTGAGTTCGAGCCTCACTGGGGCAGTAACTTTTTCTGGCTTGCCGGTTGACTACTACCGGGGTTATTTACCGGCAACTCAAAAGGGTATCCTTCCGAGTCCTTCCGTTCCCAAGTCGTCGTAGCCGTCCTTTCTTTGACCTGGCCACAAAGCGCGAACATGACAAATCCGGGCTCCCACAGGCAGCCACCAGAGTGAGATACGCTCGCGATGTCTTGTTCAGCAGGATGGTGTCGGATCCCGCCCTTAACCCCTAACAGGTCATCTGGACGGTTTCGTTGGAAAGCGATTCCAACACTAGCCGCTTTCTGGCTTCCGAGTTGTTCCCGTACGACATTCTCGTTCTCATGCTTTCATGAACTTCTGACAGCATATAGCCCTTTGGGGAAATCGTAGCTCTCTCGGACCGACATGTGACCCGCCCGTGGCCGTACCACCCTGCCCCACAATTTTGCCTTTTCTATCTGTGGAGGCCCGTTTTCCCGGGGAGCGCTTATTGGGCATTGCCTCGCTGATATCGGTAAGCCCCGTGAACCCGACAACATCGCTAGCACAAAGCTCCGGTGCCATTATCGCTCCATCACGGCACCGCACGTTCCACCGGAAAACGCCATCGAGTCAATGTCCCATCCCACATTCCACATCCATCGATGTAGGTGGATTCATAATCAGGGCCATAATCAGGGCCTCCTGAGTCACGATTGGGTTCTCGACAGTGTTCTAAGTTTTTACGGAGAAGTGTGGATGCGGGCTGTGCGACAAGCTTACACGTACCAGAGTCACGTACCATATTCCTAATCGCATAGCTCGGGCGACTCGGTCGCCGATTTTTTGCGGTTTTTGTTTTGGTCCTGATCGCGGTTCAAGAACGTTGAGCGGCTCTCTGTATTTCAGACTGGTGTACAGTACACGTCTGGCGCGTGTTCACTTCTTTTAGGCTTCATGCTCCACTCTTGTCCCAGTCATTCCGCGTCCTGCATTTTTCCGCGTGTTACGCCGTCTTTCCTTATGGCTGAATTAACCCTCTGCCCTCCCCCGAAGCGATTTTCTATGGGGCCCCGCACGCCTTGGCACTCGGTGAATGAACCTCCCTAGTATAGTAGAATGCTGAGAAGCAAGCGACCTAGCCCACGAAACTCCGTGATTAGTCCCCGTTGGTACACGAGTTCATAAAGTAGTAGCCCCTCTCAACTCGAACCATGAATCAGCAAATTCACATGTGGGGTGGGGAGTGGGGCCGGAGGAGCCGTAGTATACGCGGCTGTCTCGGAACGGCGGGGCTGTTCGAATGTTCAGTTATCCACGCAAGTCGCCGGGGCGCGGGGCGAAAGATCCTACAGTATGATTCGCTACCAGTTTACTACCGACTTCCCACCCCCATTGCGCCCCCAAATATAGCCGAAGAAGTACCCTCTTACTATGCCCCGGCTCGCAACCAATAATGTAGCCTTCCACTCCACATTGGTTGCACCATGATTCCGTGCATTGCGCCGCGGCATCATTTGCGCAACGGCGTGGGGCCCGGGGGCGGTTTCCTTGTTGATAACCATTGATCTGGCTGCCGAGCTCCCGCATCTCACAAATACTGCTGACGTGTGCATAGCACCTGCTACCAACAACTTGTATTATCTCATCTATCACTGGTGCGCAGTCACCTGTCGGGTATCACACGGTCGCGCGCAGATTTGAGATGAAGGGGGAAGGGAGAGCACTGGGCAGCTGATGGGGGTCGTCAGGGGTAGGGCCCGGGGGCGAGGCGAGGCTCGAGGCTTGAGACCTCACCGCGCGCTGCCTGTGCCGAGCCGAGGGTGGCGGAGCTGCGGTCTCCTGGTCCGTTCCGGCCTTGTCGGTTTTTGAGAGCACCCCTGCAAGGCACGCGGCACACTGCCCCGCACGGAAAAAGAAAAACGCATCGAGGGTTTCTTGGGATAAGCGCCCTAACCCCGCTGTACTGTAGGGATAAGGAACCAGCTGACTCATGGCGCCGCAACGAGGCTGCACAGGCAAAGCCCATCTAAGGATTGGCACGCACGGCCACGTATGCCTCGCGCCGTTTATGCCCTTTCAGATAAGAGCCGGTGGCCTGCCTGCGAATGCACATTGCGCAACCGCAGCCCCCCAGACTAGGAAATAGAATCAAAGGTGGTTACCAACCCTAACTGTTGTACAGTACAGTGAACAGATGCCTACAAAAACACCGGTATACCGGAGCAGACGAATATAGGAATACATGTGATTATTATGTGGTGCGAACTCGTACGACTCTACGTCATCTTCACCACGAAAGTTACATCTCTCTATGCCATCGTAATTGGCGATTGTGTTTGCACATCTATCGCAGGCTCTCAATAGTTAAACAATTTCTTTAATCGATTCACCCAGGGCTATATCATGTGCCCGTATCACAACTATGTAAGTGAGACAACTTCTGAAACAATGTTAAATAATGCGTGTCGTGAAGAACCGTGATGTCATAAGAACGTTAGGTGGATAGGATGCTCAGTGGAAAATGTCAGCGTATGTCATTGGGAGAGGGAGATGAAGATGGGAGTCAAAGATAATCGTATGTTGAGGCTGACATAATGTGGGTCGAAACCGTATGTATCGTAAAAGGGTATGGACGGACGGCAGGACATGGGGGAAGGACTAGTCGAGCGGAAGGGCACCTTTGCACAAGCAGGTATGGCGCTAGCAATACGCCAGCTGAAATTTGCGTCGCGATAAGATCGCTGTGCCCATCTAGGATGTACGGCAGTCGATAGCCGTGGTCGAAACCATAAAGACAATGTCATGGTAGACGATGTCGCGGTGGAAGTCGTAGGGGACGGGGTGTGTGTCAATATTAAGCACCAAATTTGCGCTTGAGTCTTCTCTGTACGCGGAAGATGGAGAAACGGACACTAAGGTTGAGTGCCTGCCACTGGCGGCGGATCTGCTGGCCACATGTGGGACTGAAAAGGTGGAATCACGCCGTTGAGATAAAGAACGCAACCAAAAATCAAACACAACTCACGTCCAGTCAGGCACCTGCTGGTGCATTGACACGTACTGCTCCTGCTTGGGCTCCCGTGGAATGACGTCAGGTTCAACTGACACCACCCGACAGGTCTCATTGTGGGGCGAGTGGCTCCTCGAGCGGAGCTTATGATGGACGCGGCTTTGGCGGTATCTCTCCTCGATGACCTCCTCGAAAGAGCGGCGGGCGTAGGGTAGAGACTGCTCATAGGCGTGGTAGCGAGCGCGGCGGCGTTCGCGAGGCGAGGCACTACGAAGGCGCGCGCGTTCATCGAATTCTTCAGCATCAACTTCATCATCGTCACCGCCGCGCTCCCAAGCAGGACGACGTGGGAGGGGTGTTACAACAGGGAAGTAGCGGTAATCCGGATCGTGGAGATTTCCATCTGTGTCGGCATATACAGAGGTCGGCGAGGATGATGCGGAGGAGGATAGATAAGAAGGGTCGAGGATGCGGGAGACATCTGCCCCCTTTGGTTGGCGATGATGGGAAAAGTGACGCTTGGGAGGTGGTGGTGCTGGGTGAGATAGGCGCATTGGAAGATCGTATTGGAAGGTAGGAGACATTGCCCTTCGATGGGGAGGACGGGGCTGGTAGGGTGAGAGAGGGGAGTCGGTGGCGGGGAATCGGGCATGGATGAACGGTCAGATTTATAGTGAAAGCTGCGTACGGTAGCATCTGCAGGTAATCGCTGAGCCATACTCCCGGTCCACAATGTAATCGGGGAAATCTCATCTCGGCGTTTTCACATCTCTGACTCACCTCCCCCTTCACCCAGCCAGTCGCTTTCTTCCGTACCCACCCGGATTACCACTATGGGACGATAGTACCATAGTAGTACCCAGAGAAGAAAGACAAAGACACACACTGAAGAGAAACCCAGACACACATCCCGGTTTCCTCCCACGACACTTAACACCCCGACCCGTCCACTCCGGCCCTTTGAAAACACACGACCCTATTCACCCCAAGCGCCAATCTCCACAACTTCTAGTGCGCCTCGTTTCCCGGACGCCCAGACCGCCCCGAACATATCGCACCGACGCAGCTCTTGCCTGCTTTGGACGGGTCGCCCCAAACTCCGAGTTCTGCTCTCCATCTCCATATCGATGTTCCTCTGTTATCTTTCGCCATTGACACTAAGTAGGCCTTATGGGGAAGGTTCCCCATACCTTCTCCCGTGCTACCCTACCTGAATCTCGCACAGGTTCCAAGCTCGCCTCGCTCACGGGCGCGTCGGCCCGCTTAGCTAAGCCGGCCCAGGTTATCCCCGCTCTTACCTCAGCAGGCACCACAACTTCATCATCTTAGCAATCCACAATCCACAGGACGTTGATGAGAAGCCGATTGACATCGGTCATCAACTTGCTGTGGATACGAGATGTGGATGGATCGTGATTCGGTGGGTCGTTGGTAGGATACCTTGTTCCGAGTCTCTGCCACCCCACAGTTCCCCGTTTTCTTGTAGTTTCCAAACCCGGATGTAATTGTAGTCGCATTGTACTACTGTAGTCCCTGCTCGCATGCCTTGTTCGTGCCGAATAGAGCTCAGGTCCCATATGGACCAGTGATGCCTTCGCACCCTGACATCATTCTACCAGGCTACCAGGGCACTGGCAGGGGTACATTCATAAGCTGATGACCTCTCGGAAATTATCAGAATTGATAATCAAAAACCCATTATCTTCGGTCTCGGGGTTCGGACATTCGGGTATATTCACACATCCGTCCACAGGCGCGTCAGCGCGGCTGTGGCAAAAGGCTCACGTCATCATTCATCTTTCCACGCTGTCTTCGCATTGCTTGGCGGAGGCCGATAATTTCTTTTCTAGAAAGACGGTACACTCCGCTTTGATGTATAGCCTTTGCTTTGGCCAGTGACGTGACACGAAAAATGCTTGTGGAAATAAAATTCGCCAATCATTTAGGGGTACTTGCCCCCTACCTCGATTTCCTTGTCTCGACAACGTGTTGTGAACGAGGCTAGTCGATGCCAAGTTCCTGGGATCT